GTAAATCACGGTGACTCAGTCGGCAAAGCGGCAGTAGGCCTTTACCCGTGCGCACCAGAGGGCCAGCCTTATTTCAGGTTCTGAAAACCCCCTTTTGGCCGCTGCGGGATTCGAACCTTGGTCTACGTCCAATGTTTCCCACCGCTCGACCAACTGAGCTACCCGTGCGGGTAACCGCGGTCGACGCTGATAAGTAATGAGTGGTTTGGCAGAGGACAATGGAGGACTGAGAGGTGACAATGGAGTAAGATGAGGAATGGGTAAGACTCGAGAGACAGATTCAACTTCCACTTGTGAAGTGAAATACGGTTGATCCTCAAAGAAACTGACATCTGCAGAAGTATAGAAACGATGAGTAGAAGGTGAATAACAACGGTACCCTTTTTGGACTCTAGAGTAGCCAAGGAATATGCACTTGATTGCTCGTGGAGATAATTTGTTAAGACGAGGGGAAAGATCCTGTACGAAACAAGTACAACCAAAGACTTTGGGAGGAACAAGGAAAATGGGGTCCTTTGGGAACAAGATAGAGTGTGGTACTTTGTTATCCAATGTAGAAGATGACATTCGATTGATTAAATGAACAGCTGTGAGAACAATATCTCCCCAGAATTTTAGTGGGGCATTGGCATGAACCACTAGTGTGCATGCTGTTTCAATGATATGACGATGTTTTCTTTCGGCAATCCCATTTTGTTGAGGCGTGTGGGGACATGTGGATTGATGAATTATCCCTTGAGTAGCCATATATTCATTGAAATTTGTTGAGAAATATTCCTTGGCATTATCACTACGTAGAACACGAATGGTATGATCAAACTGATTTTTTATTTCATTGCAGAAACTTTCGAAAATGCCAAATAACTCTGAATGTTCTTTCATTAAATAAAGCCACGTACATCTTGAAAAATCATCAACAAAGATAACAAAGTACCGAAATCCTAAAACAGAACTGACACGACTTGGACCCCAAACATCTGAGTGAACAAGATAAAATGGAGATTCTGCATGACTATGACTTTTTGGGAAAGTGGTTCTAACATGTTTACCAATTTGACACGACTCACAGGCTAAGGATTGTAAATTGGAAACTTGAGGTAACATTCTCCTCAGTTTATTGAGACTAGGATGACCTAAACGTTGGTGAAACAAAGAAGGAGACTCCATAGCAGTGCAAGCAACTGAAGAGGAAGTCTGAAAGTAGTATAGACCCTGAGATTCAAATCCTGCTCCAATCATCTGTTCCGTACTCCGGTCCTGTACAGAAAAAGAGTCATCAATAAAGGTGACAGCACAATTATGACGACGTGTAAGTTGACTGACAGAAACCAAGTTGAAAGGACGGATAAGAAGAACAGAATTAAGAGATAAAGAAGGATGAAGTGTGGCCTGTCCAACGCCAATGGCTTTAACTTTTGAACCATCAACAAGGGTGACATGGTGCGCTGATTTAGGTTGAGATAACTTTGAGAAAAGAGAAGGATTACCGGCAATGTGATCAGAGGCACAAGAATCTATGATCCAAGATTTGGCGGGTCCTGATTGAGAAAGACAAGCTGTAGAGTTACCGGTAAAATTGACTGCTACTGAGGAATGATGAGCTGCCTTAAGTTGTAGATACTCTTTATATTCATCATCTGATAGAACATTCTGGGCACTTTTTGTTGCTGCCCCAGGTTTCACCGGTTCGGAGTGCATACATTAACAGACTTGTCAGGACAACCAATAATTTCATAACATTTATCTTTGGTATGACCCATGCGCTTACAATGACTACACTTAGGTCGACCACCAGTGCCACGTCCTCCTCTATCACGACCACGACCACGACCGCCATAGCTAGAACGAGAGAGAAGAGCAGAGAACTCTGAATCAACGTGAGGACCAACACTTTCAATTCCACTTGGTGCAGGAACTCTCAACAGTCGACCGATAAGGTCTTCAGCAGTGGGAATGTTTGGATTCGTTAGGATCTGGTTCTGCACGAAATCAAAATCCCTATGAAGTCCATGGAGAACAAACACCATACACATTTTATCAATTTTATCACACTTTAGGGAGATCAGTTTCGCTCAACATCACCTTAACCTCTTCAACAATGGATTGTGCCTTATTCACATATGATGGAAGGTCATGGTCGAACATTTGGAGTGTTGCAAGGCTATGAACAACGTCATAAATCCGTTGGACATCATTCGCGAACACACTTCGAGCTTTCTTCCATATGTCATAACACGTCTTGTATGTGCGGAAGTGGATCAACAGTTTGGGATGGACTGCCACAGAACATCAACCAATTGATGGTCGGCTTGAGTCCATTTTTCCCTTTCAGATGCAGTTATCTCATCGGCTCTTTTGGTCAAATGTTCGGACAAACCTTGGCCTAAGAACCACATTTCAACAGAAACTTGCCAATCCATGTAGTTTATGCCGTTAAGTTTTTCAGAAGTTATTTGGGGATTCCCAGAAAAGACAAAGGACACAAGACTCCTGGAAGATTCAGGAGTCGTGCTGCTTGCAGGAGACATGATCTATACTGACTTGGGAACAATCTGGAATGACTAGGACTTCTATTCCTAGTGCCGGCAGACCAGTCTCGATGAAGGTTGGCTGCAGGGACGACTAGGGAAAGTGAGGACCAGGCTCTGATACCATCTTGAATTTAATGATTTGAATGAAATTGCTTGAGAAACTACTCTCAACAAGTCTTTATTTATAAGGCAAATAATTACAAGGAAAGAATCATATGCACATCAATCAATAATTAATTCCTGATTTGATACAATCTGTACAATAAATACTAAAATCAGAAAGGAGATCATATCAAATCTCAACACAATCTATGTCCAGTAATGAGCATAGATGAATGAACTAATGAGCATATATGAATGAACTGAGGTTTGGTAGTTTGTCATGAAGCTATTTTGGGAGTTAGGGTTATGGGTTTGTGAGTGGGGAGAAGAGTCAGAGTGCTCGGTTTCCACCATTGTGGTGTTTAAATGGTCTGCTCTGATACCATGTAAGTTTTAGGAATAAAACTTCTTTGATTGAATAAACCAAACGGCCAGGGTATAAATACACTTTGTACAGATAACAACTACAAAGCTTATCTACAACTAACTGCATCTATTCTAGTCTATCCGACTAAATATGTACATCAATTTAATCAGAAAAAATAATGTAACATATTCTGTAGGAACTATATTGCGTATTCAATATAAGATGGTGAATCTCCCTAAAAGGAATTGGAATATTCTATCCCACTTTCCCTATCTCATTAGTGTGCCAATTTATTTTGATGAGTAAATATTACTTTATTCCATCATTTCCAATGGAGCCAAAGAGGCAAAGACTCACTATTTTTTTGGGTGAATATGATGGAATAAAGCAAAATGACTCACTAAACTGTCTGCGCTTTTTTGTTATGAAGCAGCAGTCAATCCATGCATTTTGTGATGCGGTTTTCATCATGATCATCCGGAAACAGTCTCTTTGTGCTTTAGTACATGAGTAAGACTACGTACATCCGACCCCCCTTACCCCACCGTAGGTGGCCTTTGCGGCACTGGAGTAATGTTGTTGTTGTTTGTTTGAGTAAATATTACTTTGTCCCAAATTTTCTTCTAAGTTTAATTTGGCATGTTTATTAAGAAAGCTAAAACGTACGGGTGTGGTTGATGTAAAAGAAGGTAAACAATATCATGTTATCAACCACATAAACTATTACTCAAGGAAATGAGTGGAAAATTTTGGGATATCCCAAAAAAGAAAGTGGGAAGAAAAGTTTGGTGCAGAGGGAATAATTAATGCAAACACTTATGTTATTAATGTAATTATTTAATAGACAATAACCAATTATGAGTGGCACACAAACGTGATAAGGAGTGTGCGATAGAAGATTTGAACTGCCCAAGAGCATCGGTCCTATTTATATTACTCAGTCTGTGTCCCAGTCCTTATTGTAATATGATTGGACTCCTCTCAAATAATATAGCTAGAAGGACTCTACTACATGATACTACATGCATAATAGGACCACTATACATACCTCCAAATAGGATATATTTTGCTCCTTTACTGCCCCATGCTTTGGCTGGGCCACAGCCCACACTGTTGCCCTGGGCCTCTCAACCAATCATGGGGCCTGCCCATCTTTATTTCTTGGGGCACTGGAATCTTTTTTCTTGGGGCACTGGGCTTTCCTATCTTTTGCCTTATCATAAACTGGATTAGACCATCTTGCACATTGTAGCCAACTTTGAGCATAATTCCCACCATTTAGCTCATTATGATTCATGAATATCAGAATATCAGGAACCATGCATTAGCAGATGGATGGAAGTAATTTAAAGAATCACTAATCACGAACATTTAGGGAGTATTTGGAGTTGCTTCTACTTCATATAAGTGATTTTAATGCGATTTTAAAGAAAGTGCTTAATAGTAGAAGTTGGAACTGTTTGAGAAAAAGTAAAAGTTGGTAGTGTTTGGTAAAAAAAGTATTTTGTGTCATAAAAAAAGTGAAAAACAGTTTGAAGCACCCCTCCATCTGCTTCCAACTTTTGGCCTTAAAGTGCTTAATTTAAGCAAAAATTGTAACTTGCAAACACCAATTTCAGTTTTTTCGAAGTAAAAAGCTGAAAAACACCTTTTTAATCTTTTGCAAACGCTCCCTTAATCATGTCATGTTAAAATTTAGATTGTCTGTTCACCTATAGTGTCAGCCCATATCGGCCATATATCTTGGTAATTACTAAGTATGTTGTATGCAGAAAGTATGCCCTGAAAAGGTGTGCTCTTTGATGATCTATGATATCTGGCATTTCAACTATGGGAAATTGCAAAAACAGAATGGAGATTTTAACTTTAAGTGATTGATGTCATCCTTTGCTGACTCAAAATGTTCATTGTGTCAAACTATCTGCTGAACATTTACTATACTTCGTAACGCAATCTACTTAAAAGCTAATATCCTCTGCACTTTCAATTCAATGGCTCAGCTCCAGGAGCACATCATACGCACAACCTTCTGGGGTTTCACTATCACCTGGTAATATTTTGGAACAGCCAATGATGATTCTCTCATTCAAAATTTCTATTATGTTTTTGTCATATTTGTTTGTCATGCTATGGTATTTTATAGACCGAAAGGAGGCATATATTGCTGATAGTGAGAGTAGCTCCATTCGAGCCGTTGATCTAAGGACAGGAGGTTCAAAATTGCTTGCTGGTGGTGACCCAAATTTCTCAGATAATTTGTTCCGGGTATTTCTACAATGAGCCATGCGAACCAGATTGTTTAAATCAGTTTTTCTTTTTGAAGATTGTCATATGACAAATCCTCTTAATGTATTAGTTTCAACTTGCAGTTTGGAGACCTTGATGGAATAGGTTCTGGAGCACTTCTTCAACACCCATTAGGCGTTTTATGTGGTCGAGATGGTCAAGTTTATATAGCAGATTCTTACAATCACAAGGTAATTACTAATTACTATCTTTAACCAATAATCTTTGATACTGGTGGGTACTGGGTAGTAGCTTAGTTCATGTGGTTCTGAAGTTCATGACTCAGAAATTAATTCAGCCATTTTATTTGCTTTAAGTTCATTGCGTAGATAAAAAAGTGTTTCTCTTATCATGCAATATCATCACCACCTTTCCTAGCTATGTTGGGCTCAGTGACATGGTATTTGTAGTGTAATTCATTGTCCATGTTTATTAACAAAGTTTAGATGGGATCGACTATATACTCTTGTTGAAAGTTGAAACCCTAGTAATTCATTGTCCAGAAGTTCAATGCATCAAAACTTTGTTATAGATACATCGTGATCAGAAGTGTTTGATATAGAGGTTGTAGATACACCTTAGGAAAGACTATATACTCTTATTGATACATTGAACTCAATAGGGGTTTTATACTCACAACTCCCTTGTACATTCCCCCCCTGCTTTGACTTACCAAATTTATTAGAAAGTCAAGGTTTTTAATACACTGGGATCAGGCCTAGAAAAAAACATTGAATGAAACTGAATTGCATTCTAGGGAACTTCACTTTCTGCTCAGTTATAAATATTTTAACAGTAAGTTGAAGAGAAACACTATTGACAGCGGAATATTAACAAGGAAAAAATCAGCTAGAGGTCGTGAGTTCAAAACATCAAACCTCACGGTCCAATTTCTAGGCAACATAGTCTTGTTAATAATATCTTTATGTCTTGTCTCCCCTCTCCCATCTTCACGATTTTGACAACTCCAAGCAGTATAAGAGGTTTATAATATATATGTGGAATTGATAAGATGCTAAAAATGTTCATGTCATGGTCTATTGTTTCCCTTCCTTTCCTTCGGTTCAAAAGTTTGGGTGGGGAAGATGCTTTATCCACCCACTCCCCTTCATTTTCCATCCCTCCAATTTGAGATTTTTCGAAGGAAAGGCTAAAATTCACTCGATATCCCTCCACTCCCTTCCACTTCCCTCCCCTTCACTCCCTTAAACCAAACTTACCTTCAAGAACAAAAGATGGAGAAAATAATGGGATGGAGGGACTATGTAAGAAAAACATAGTTTCTCACATTTTTGCACTTTAAAGTTTCAAATGTCTCGACTTTCAAAGGTACAACTCTTTTCAAGGCACTATCAATCTTCATATAAGAATATTATCTCTAGTGTATATTTTTCAAAGGAACAATCGTTCATTTAGAGCTTATAATTTTGTGGCTAAAGGGTCAAATAGGCCTCTGTACCGGTCGTGTAAGCTCAATTCAGTCCCTGAACTAAAAAAAGGCCCAATTCGCACCCCAAATCGGCAAAAAAGGGTTCAAATTTCATTTTTTACAGGTAAACAACCGGTAAAAAGGTCCAATTTGCACCCTTAAACTATTAAAAAGTGTCAAAATTGCAATAAATCGAAAATAAAAAACAGAAACAATAAAGAAATTAAAAAATGACCGGTTGTTTACTCGTAAAAATGAAATTTGAACCTTTTTTTGTCGGTTCGGGGTGCGAATTAAACCTTTTTTTAGTTCAGGGACTGAATTGAGCTTACACGACCGGTACAGGGGCCTATTTGACCCTTTAGCCTAATTTTGTTAACTCTTAAAGATATAACTGGATTCACATTCAGTATTTTGTTTGAGTTGGAGGTGTATTTGGTTTCCAGATTAAGAAGCTAGATCCCGTTAGTAGAGCGGTGAGCACATTAGCTGGCACTGGTCATGCTGGCTTCAAGGACGGGGCATCTTCAAGATCTCAGGTTGTTAGTATTTTATTATCTCAGGTCTCAAAGGTTCCATGGGATTTGATGTGTGTTAAATATAAATGAAATTTAAGAAACATGTCATTTGCACCAGTTTGAATAGTAAAGTTGTAGGGTGCATTGGTCTTATCTTCTAGATCAGTTGGTAGATCCCTACTTTTATTGGTATCCTCATATCCTGTTGTGATGTTAAGTGTCTTATACAGCACTGTATATAGAGGATCAACTTGTCTTGAAAACTTTGTTTTATCAAAAGGGATCCCTCTTACTACTGCACTTTACTTTTTTTTCCTTTACCTGAATAAAAGGTGAGAAAACTATGTCAGACAAAACAAAGAAACTTTAGGAGAGATAAATTGTTCTTGTTTGTTGATCTGGCCTATATAGCTTACACCCCATGATGAAGGAACTATAGTGGTAGAATTTTATTTCTTAGCGTACCTCAAGCAAGAGAGATTTCCTGTAGGATTAAAGTGCGCCACTTAAGTGAGTTTTTTTGCCAGCTCTCTGAACCAGCAGGAATTGCTCAAGCAGAAAATGGTGACACCCCTCTCACGTGGTTACTCTTTCCATTTAATTAAAGAAAATGTGTACTGTGGTTCTCATGGTTGAATGTCTTTATCCAGGAAGATTATTCATAGCAGATACAAACAACAACCTTATCAGATATTTAGACCTGATCGTTGGAAAAGCTGAACTTCACACGCTACCATTAAAGGGAGTTCCGCCTCCTGCAGCTAAATCCCCATCTTTGAAACGGCTTAGGAGAAGACGAGTGGACACACAGACCATTGTTGTTAATGGTAGTTCATCAAAAGAAGCTCTGTTACATCTCCAAATATCTGTGCCTGAAGGTTACCACTTCTCAAAGGTTCTCTCTCATTCCTCCTTCTCTTCCCATTGACCTATTCCACTATAGATGGACCATAATCGTTTATAGTCTTCTTTATTTTTCCTTGGTTCCAAAAATGTAGGAAGCACAAAGTAAATTTAGCGTTGACATGGAACCAGAGGATGCAGCTCAGATTTATCCTATGGATGGAAGTCTCAGCACAGAAGGTTCTGCTGTTTTACAAGTCAGAAGGTCATTGGCTTCACCTTCCACGGCAAGAATTCATTGCAAGGTAATTGCTGTTTTACATGTGTCAGCATTTGATACAGAGCAACAAATCATATGGAAATGTGAGTCAAAGTATTGTTCAAAAAAGGATTCACTGAATTCTTAAATAATGTCAAATGAATATACTGTTACAGAAAGATAGAAGAACAATCATGTAGAAGAATGGGGAGTCATAGCTGATTGCTTTTCTTGATTAATTCCATTCTAAGTAGATTTTAATACCATCATTAGTTAATATATTTTAGGAAGCCATTTGCTAGGATTTCTCTTTCCTTGTTTTAGTGATTTTGATGCATGCTACAATGTAATTTTTTTATGATGCTATAAAAAAAGGGCGTGAGACTGTGAGAAGTGATAGCTTTCTGATTTACTGGATTGATTTTATTCTAGTTCGATTGCCTTCAATAATTAATCTATTTTAGGAAGTGTTTTTCTAGGAAAATCTTTCCTTGTTTTTGCCATTCCTACGCCTCTAATCTTATTTATAAAAGGGAGCTTTGCTATGCGTATAAAATATTGAAGAAAGAATTAAGAAGAAAATCAAAGAGAAGAAAATTATTGTAGTTATCACAACACTTATAGTTTTCCTAATCCTTAGGATATGTGCAACTACACTAAGCCACTAGGTTCCAAAACTTGCTTCCTTGTGCTAATTTTCCATCTTCCCCAAGTAACAGTAGTTCGGTTGTATGTGCAGACCAATTTATTCTTATAAGGGAATATGATAGTAATATGAATAAAAATATTACGGCTAGTAAATACAAACAGTTATTTAAACTATGAAACTGTATTAATAAAAAACTGATAATAGTGTAGCATAAAATACAAAAAGTTATATGAAAACCTGGTCGGGATATTAGTTAGACCTTCGTTTTTGACAGTTCGTAATGTACACTTTTTGTTTTGTTTTGTTCATGTGTTCGTAATTTAACAGGTTTACTACTGTAAAGAAGATGAGGTTTGCTTATATCAGTCTCTGACCTTTGAAGTACAATTTCAAGAGTTGAATCCTGATTTCTCTCCTGCCGAGATCTCAGTTCCATATTTTGTAAAGCCAAAGGTATTCTCTAAGGGTAGCTTCCCGTCTTAAGTACTTACTCATTGATCAAGAAGCACGTGAGTTACACATCTTCTTTTTGTTGATGTAATAGTACTGAACAAATGTTATGTGCATGCCGCAGACCTTAAAATCATATGCATTAGTATATAGACCCGGTCCTAAGCATGTTCTTGATGTGCATGATAGTTTGACTATAATGAGACATTACCATATATTGAAGTAAATTCTAATAGACCCGGTCACTTGAGCTTCACTTTGCTATTTCGTTGTTCTGTGACATACTGATGGCCTGCTGTAAGAGGAAATATCTTCTTTTTCCTTTTTTCTTCTACATTGTCAGGCGAAGCTCCATCTTTTTTTACTTTCTGCTCGTTTTGATTTTTTTTTTACTTTTTTCTTTCCAATGTCTGGTGAAGCTCACATATTTTTTTTAACTTTCTGCTAGTTTGTTTTTTTTTCCTTCTTCCTTGTCCATCATATCATTTGAGACTATCTGATGAATTCGCCTGAATTAGTCGTGCATTCACTTTTTAGTTTTTTTTTTACATTTTGGCTTTCAATTTTCCTTTTTCTGTTTTTCATTCCTATGTTGCCCGCCTATCAGAAGTGACATTTTTTGCTGCTAGAAGTAAAGAAAGAAGGGGAGAAAGAATTGAAAACCAGCAGGAAGAAATAAAATAAAATAAAATCTCCCGAGTGTGGCGCTGTGACATTTTTTTTGTGACATTAATTCCGGTGACACCATCACAAAAAGGTCTTTTATGATAGGGCTGAAAAGATAATTTTTATAGTAGGGCTGAGATGTTTCACTTTTTTTTGGAAGAAATGAGATGTTTCATTCCTCCATAGCTAAGCATGGCAGCTTCAAGGTCCAGCACCGTCCAAAACAATGGAGTTGAGAAGACAGATAAGATGGCAGCTTCAAGGTCCATAGCTAAGATGTGGTAAGACAGATAAGTCACAACGACATGGCAGTGCGGCGGTGGCTCGGCAGAGAAGACGCGGCGGGAGGTCCTCCTCCTCCTCACTTGTCACTTCTCCATCACCACCATCAAAATATTAAATATTTAACTGTGATTTTGGTTTGAAGGAATTGCAAGAATATTACTTCTCAGCTTTGATTAGACAAAAAAGTGACTAAATAATATTGAAATGGCCAAAATACCCCCAATTAATAAAACCATAATCTGTGTTTCTCGAACAGTTCGAAGGGTCTTCATCGCCTTCGCCTCTCTTGCTTGAAGAAGAACGTAACTCCTGCGCGAAGATGGCTTGAAGGATTGACTGCATCTCTAATATCCATGGTCACCGTTGCCGTTACCATCGCGGCTCCCACCATCATCACCCTTGTCCTTGCGCAGGTGGCAAAGAGAAGGAATAGATCGCCGCCCTCTTCCTCTCCTTACTCCATTGCGTCCGCGTCCAGGTAGCCGCTTTCTGCACTCTACTGCATTCGCCGGTGGCGATTGCTAGCAAACAGTGACGAATTATGGATTCGAATTGGGGTTAGATTTTGGGTTGTTGAGGGCAGGTGAAGTGCAGAAGGAGGCGGCGTGGGGGGGATGGTGCAATAGCGACGAGGTTGGGAGTAGTGGCATGGTCGTCGCAGACGATGGCTCTATCGTGCAGGGGAGGGGGTGGATCTGAGCTGAGTTTTTGGTTGGGAGAGGACTAGATAGGGGGTTGTGGTTGGTTGGAGGATGTGGTGGCTGGGGTTGCGTTTGGATTACAGATGGAATCAGATGACCGGTGGTGGCAGAGCTAGCCGACGGCGATGGCCGGTGGAGGCAACTGTGGTGGTGGTCACTGTTGGATCGGGTAAATGTGATCGAAGTAATTGTGGTCGGAGTAACTGTGGAGGTGTAACTATGCAGGTGTCATTGCAGAGGTGTCACTATAGTTGTAACTTGTAACGGAGGCGATGGACGTTTGTCACTGCACTGGGTGTCATTGTGGCGGGTCTTGTAACTATAAGATAAAGTCATTTCAAATTAGGGTTGATTTAGTAAGTTTAAAGTTTATTAGTCACATTTTTGGAAATCAATGAGAAGGGTCACTTTTTTGTCATTTATCTACTTTTTAGTTATATTGAGGTCCAAATCCCTTTTAATTTTCTTTATATTCATCTTAAAATCTAACTGAATTTACTTTTCTTATTCTTAATCAATTCATGACAAAAAATTTATTGATCTAAATAAAATGAGTTTATTGCATTTCATATTGATACACTATTTTTTATGTAATAGTTTTTTTTTATATTAATACCCATTTTTTGTAATATATTTTTCATAGTATATTTTTCTGTAATATATTTTTATATGAGTTTTATACATATGTGTGATTCATATTCGATAATATACGAGATTGCATTTCCATTATGTGCGAGTTATATTTATGGACGATGTCTGGAGTTGCATTTGATAATACATGGGGTTACATTTTCTTATGCGTGATTTACATTTTCATGTGTCCAAATTACATTTTCATATATGGGAGTTACATTTTGATTTGCCTCGGCAAATTACATTTTGCATACATGCGATTCACATTTTGACTTGTCTAAATATATATTTTGCATACACGCGAATTATATTTCATATACTCCGTATGAAAGATGGCAGAATGATCACAGGAGGGAGTAGGGGTGGTCCGGACCCGACCCGGGCTTGGTTTGGGCTGGACTAAAATTTTTGGTTGCAGGCTCGGATCGGCCCGGGTTTATATCGGGGCCAGGCTGAGACGGGCACACAATATTGTTTTTTTAAATTTCTCTTTTCGAAATTATTCTTACCCCCACCCCACCACCCAAACCCCCTAGCCCCCCCCCTCATCCGACAGCCAATTAATGAGATTTTTTTTAAAAAAAAAATTATTGGGCTCGGGCCGGTCCACAATTTCCAAAGGCCGTAGTCCGCCCCATTCCCTCCCGGTTCGGGCCCCCAGTTCCGGTACCGGCTGACCGGGTTGGGCCTGCACAGTACCGGGCCGGGTCCCGGGTCGGGTGGACCCGTCCTAGTCCATCCCTAGGAGGGAGTAATGCGGCTTACACTCCTGCATGCGAAGGGGTTACATTTGTTGCTAATTAAAATTACATTTCGTATCAACGTGAGTTACATTTCAATACATGAGATTTACATCATGAAAAAATGTTGAGACAAACATATGTGTGGTTCATACACGTTTTTTAATTAAAGGTTAAAACCTAAATGACGTCATTTTAGGCGGCTCCCACGGTATAACATCTGTTACTAAATTGAGTTTTTCAGAAGTAGGTAAATTTGTAGGAATAATGAATAGTGGAAAAAGAAAAAATGTAAGAGATTGGACATGAGATGAAAATGTAGGAAACATATTACATACAACAACATCATCCAAGTGTTGGTCTCTTATGATTTTGGATCAATTAACATGAATCGATACATGATATCAGAGTTAAAATGAGAAGAGAGATAAAAAGATAAGATAAGATAAAGATAAGGATAAAAAAAATACAAGTTTGAAGGCCTTTTTATTCAAATACTACTACTACCTCCGTCCCATTAGAAGGTTCCCGTCTACTATTCACATTGTCAACTTAAATCATTTTTAATCTTTTACTTTATAAATCAATTTTTTTATCAAATTTACATTTTTTATAAGGCTTTGTAGCGGTTTTAATGTAGTTTCTGAATATGTTAATTTTATTTACTAAAAATAATTAGAGTGTGAACATGGATTAAGTTGCTTTATCGTCAGTCAAGCATCGTAAACCGTCAATGGGAACCTTTTAGCGGGACGGAGGGAGTATTAATTAAGGGATTCCCAATAAAGTGAGTTAAGTTTCAAAAGTCCAAAAATATGACTTGTCTGTTATACGCCAAACCGTTGCACACCCAGGAACTAGGCCATTAATCCGTTCAACATCGATCCATTTAACACCATGTATAACTAAAAGGCCATAAATGAACTTTAATACTGAAAAAATAAATAAAAATAGGAAAGAGTTCCTCAACCGCCACTGTTACCACCGGCACCGCCAGCAGTCTTGCCGCACCACCGCCCAGTGACTTGCTCTGGCCATAGTGACCGCCGCTCAGTAACTTGCTCTGGCCATAGTGAGTCCCGCCTACCAACCATAGTGACCATCGATCACTGACCACAGTGACTCCGGTTACGGTGACTGCCTGTCCGGCCGGTCAGTGACTGCAGTTGCCATCAACAGTGACTCCGCCGCCACACTCTACCGCCAGTGACTCTACCCCCGTGACTGCCGCCACCCCTGGCCAGTCACTGTCGCCCCCTCCCCCGGCAAGGCACTGCCATTGTCTACCTCTTTCATTGAACCACCTCAAACCACCCATCCCGGCCAGCTAGGCAGCCACCGCACCCCACCCCAATCCTCAGCCTCTGTCCACCACACCCTCCCCATCGCTACCACACCCGTCCCAATCCCAAGACTCCGCCCACCCCTACCACTGAATCACCTCCGCCCCGCCACAACCATTCCGGTCGGTGACCGCACCACAGCCCAACCACATCCCAACCCTGCACAGTTGCTACCTAGGACACTACCACCCGTCTCCCGCCCCTGCCACTGAACCATCTCCGCCAAAGCGGAGTCGCCATCCACCGAGACGATAGATTTGACATCGACGGCCCCAAGGACGGCGGATCTGGAATCCGACACCGGTGACCGTAAATAAAGTCATCGTTCATTCAGGCGGCGGATCCAGCACCTGCGGCTTCAGTCAAACGAGCACAGGCGGCAGAGGTGCAGTATTCGAGCAACGAAGCAGATGGATAACGTTCATCTTGAAATTGGAGGAAGAAGAAGAAGCGAGCGACGGCTGGAGCAGTGGCGGCGAGGGCGTTGGAGCTTCACGTCTTGCATTAGTTGCATCCATGGCAGCTCTGGCCGTGCCTTGCACGAATGAAGAGAGAAGGAAGGCAACGTCGAACGAAGACAGAAGGAAGGCAGCGTCGAATGAACAAAGAGGCAAGCATCGGGTCAATTTTTTGGAAAATTGAGAAAAGTCATAAATTTAAAAATTAGAAGTCCATTAGTGATACACGTGCCATTTTTTCAAGTTTGAATGAACTTTAGAAAAATAATACATGAATTTTTTATATGACGATAAAAAATAAGGGTATTTAAGTCTTTTACTACATTATATTTTCTAAACAAAGAAAACATACAAGTAAGAATGAACTTTATAAAAATAATACAATGCAAGTGAAAGTGATATTACATTTAGGTTTGATTCATTGCATGTTTTGGTATATTTAGTTGGTAATTGAATTCGTTACATTAATAAAAAGTAGTTGAGATATAGAGCCGTTGGGTGACCTCTATTTTTGGCGTATCTAGTTTGTCAATTAATTTTTTTACGAAACACAAAGTTTTTGATTTCGCGGGCTAAATTATTTCATAATCAAAATAGTAAAGTTGGAGTTACTTTTCCGATTGAATTGGAGAATCATTTTAGTTGTTTTCTCATATAATTTATTCTTTATTTTATTAATAAATACTACGTATATTTTAAATATGTTTTTTATAATTAAGCAAATTTAGTCACTCAAAGTGTTTCAGTTAGAATTTTATCAATTTCACCAAAATCAGACGATTCATCCAATTTTTGTGATCAAACACTCATAGTTAAATGCTTATATATGAAACAGATTGAATTACATTAATAAACAGTACAATAGTAGCTCACATATAGTTATATAGTCATATACGATAGTATGAAACAGATAGAATTAGTAAATGACATGGGGCGTGTCTCACTTCAAGAAGCAATACAGTCTGGCATGTCATTGCCTAGTAAAGGCTCTTTTGTTTCGTATCTTTATGTATCCTTTAATTTGTTATTTGGCTCTATAATACTCCGTAAAAGACTAAAATATATGTGAAATACAATGAATGGACTTCCGATCCATTTCAATCTCGCTCACAATTACACTATTTCAACATTATCTTTACTAAAAAGCAATTGTATTTGTAATATCCTGTGTTCTTTAAATAATTTAATAATTTGGGATTAAAAGTTTGATTTGGGAAGGCCTGCACTCGTATCTATGTGAATTAACATTAATAAAGGTTGACACCACATATTCAAGGGTCTAGCACGACCGAACAATTAACTAGCAACATCTAAATTGAACTTTAATCACAAGCTCACATATTGAGAATGAAGTTTTGGCTCAAGTATTGCAAAAGTGTTATGCATAATTACATAATAACCTCTTATCGCAATTGACATGATAAACATTAATATGCATTACGTTACATTAAATACAAATCATAACATGAATAGATACTCAAACAATATACATAAAAATGTAAATTAACACGATGTATAATTTAGTATATATCTTCATGCTAATATAAACAAGTATATTAATATGGAAAATTAACAATTCTTATATGAAACATCTATGAGCATGAATACATTAATATGGATCTAGATACCGATACGAGAAGTCGGTCTTCACATAAACTATTGTAGTCAAAAGGCGGTCATGGCACCCTCGTCCGCGTAGGGTTTGGTTTTGGGTTTCATAAGTTGAAGGGCTAGGGCGGCGCGTCATTGCCGCTTGTCTCCGGCCTTTGGGAACGTTGGTTGATTGGATTTCATGTTTGTGTGGTGAGCTTCGCCAGGGAGATTCCTACGGATAGGATTGGGACTCGACATGAAATCAACTGGAGCGGCTGGTACTGGAGACAATTGGCGATAAGATTGGCTTAGAGTGTGGCTCCCTCAGTCGGCGGTCATGATTGGTTTCTTCTTTCTGCGGGGGTTGTTCGGCAGCAAGGTTATTAGAACTTTAGAAGATATCAATGCAACAACAATTATGAATAGGGCAGGTCCTCTCCGGTTTTGGGCCTACGAGCGATATACTATCCTGTATATACTATGGACGATATTACGGAGTATAATAAAATTATGAGAAATTACCCTAAATAGAACTAAAAACATGTGTATATTGCAAACTAAGATTATCATCATGTTTTTATTGCTTAAATAGAAGTAAAAACTGTCATTTTTGACCATATCATACTTTACACATGGTAGTATTTTCCGAACATAATAGTACGTAATTACTCCTATTCAGAAAATAAACACATGCCAATTTTTTTTTGGAATTCTCAAAAAAAAAATTACTCGTATTTCAGGAATTCTCCCTACAACTATCTAATAAAGGTTATAAATAAAGATGAAATTCACCTTCATATTATTTGAAATACATATTTGGACAAAAGTAACAACACAAGTATCACAAAAAACATTGTGAAATAAAATCATCAATAATTGTTTTATAATCAATCTTTTCAAGATCACATGTGCAATGTTTAAAATTGCTAATCCATTAAGTTTTTTGAGGCATAATAGATAATTGGGATGATGTTTGAGAATTGGGAGACACTTGCAGTCCAAAGACAATAATATAAATTGGTAATTTTGTAATAAAAAAGAATAAAAAGTTTTAAAGGCTAAAAAGATGTGAAAAGACGTGCTTTTATTGATTCAACAAAAAATGTGTTGACTGACAACCAACTCTATTTAAAAATCAAAACTAAATTTACGTTGTTTTTAAAACTTGTCTAGCTCCATTCAAGACTTTATACTTAGGTTTTAAAAGTTTGAAATTGTCAACAAAAATTACACATTAGGCCTAATTAATTAAGAAATAATTACATAAATATGATCAAAATAAAGATGGTTTACAAAAATAGGACTAGTTACTAGAGTAGTAATGAAATCATAGTAATTCATGTTCAAATTTTGAACTTAAGTTACCACAACACTACATTGTAGTAATGAATAGTCATATTTACACAAATAAGTTTTATTTTAGTAATATTCTTGTAAAAACCCCATTAATTAATTGAAATTATAAATAAAAAAGAAGCCTACTCAGATTTCATATAAAGAAAAAAACTTGGGTCTAATTTTCTTTCTAGTTTTTTTTCGAGCCTAGGGCGGTCGCCCCTGCTGCCCTCCCCCTTAGCTAGGACCGGCCCTGAATTTATGAAGATGCAGGGATTGTTTTGCCGGATGTGAATGATAACGATGACCAAGAGGGGGATTTACGGAGTGGTCACGGGTTGATACGATTGTTGCTGATAAGGCAGTTAAATTTTGCTGTTTAGGGATGTACTCGCGTCAATTTGGAGATTTAGTAGGTGTGTTTCTATTAAGAAGATCAGCGAAAAGGGTATTTATTCTCCTTCTGTCATGAAATTGATATGAAACATGTTATTGAATATGGCACGTGGTCATACGACGAAAATCATGTAGTTTTGCGTGCTTTAAAAGCTGATGATCTGACTTTGAAAGTTTCGCTAATTTTATCGGAATTTCGGACTCAAGTTCATAACCTGCCAGTTGGTTACTTGACTCTAAAGGTGGCAAAACTTATTGGTAACTCTTTAGGAGGATTTGCCAAGTTAGATAAGAATCAGTTTGAAGGACGTTGGAGGGCTTACTTGAGAATTAGGGTGTGTCTAGACACAGGGAGGCATCTGAAGAAGAATACGAAAAATTTCCAAACTTTTTTTTAATTACATGTGGTATCATTGGCCAGGCAGATAGGTTCTGCCTTCAGATTCTAGGACAACCCACTTCGGAGCAAAGTAAGGAGTTCTGGTCGTGGTTGCAGGCTAAGAATGGGCATAACAGTGAAAGTAGCTAGGGGGAATAAATGGCTTTCTCTAGAGAAGGGCAACAAGCAGAGGATAAACATGATGGTTGGAACGGAAAAGTCCCCAGTATTGGGAACCCCGGTGGAACATGCTTCTGTCTATGATGCAAGGGAGGCTTCTGGAAATGGGAAGCATATGACATGTGTAAAATGGAAGAACAAAATCGAAGGAGGGTGGAGCAGAGGTAGCAGTAGAGGCATACTCGATGATGAAGATGGAGAACAATGGTAGATAAAACAGGGTCGTGGCGAGCTCTAGATAACATGCTCATGGAGAAAAATGAAAGTCTAGTGTGCATTTCTGCCCTTTTATTCATTGTATTTTGAATTTCACTCCCAGATTATGTCGGTTTTTTGTTACTTTTTTTCTATAGTCATTTTAGCCAAGATGATAGGGAGTTTTTTTTATTTAGTTGTTATATGGAAACTTGATGTGGACAATTCGCGGGGCAAATTATCTTTTTGGTCATTATAGGCAATATGCCCGAATATGGTTAGCGAATTATTGTGCATTTTCTAGTGCGAGTAACTGTATGTCAAATCTTAGGGTAGATGATAGAATTATGTATGTTTGTCTGGTTGTTGTTCTGTGTGGTTTTGATATGGTAATATAAGCCTTGCCATTCAAAAAAATACTGATACAGTTGAACCAATTAAGTAACCATTCGAAACATGTTTTGTCTATTTAGAGGTGAACGCAATTCCCATATCAGAAGCGGAACATCTGGAATTAGCCTGTTTTACTCAGACTAGAACCCATCTTTGAAGGTCAAAAGGCCCATAACTGACACCCGAAAATGGTCCAACCCAGTCTTGAATAAAAAGTCTCATTCCCGTTAAAGTAGGAATAAATCCGGTGCATCCAGGGCCGGCCATAGGGGGAGTTACCCTAGACAAGTGTCTAGGGCCTCCAAATTTTAGGGGCCTCTAATTTATAAAATAAGCTTATTAATATTATTTAGGAGACTTTGTCCGGCCGTCAACATTTGAGATAGTTTCCTTTGTAATTTTTTGATGATTTTTTTTAGAATCTTATTCATTATGTCTAGTTTACTCGTACCAAATTTCACCTAAGAATTCAATCAGGAAGACATTCAAATGAATTCTTGAAGATAGCTGCGCAGTTAAAAGCGCAGTTATCTTCAAGAATTTATTTGAATGCCTTCCATATTGAATTGTTAGCTTAAATTTGGTATAAGTAAACAAGACTTAATGAATAAGATTCTCAAAAAATTTCATCAAAAAATTTCATCAAAAAATTCCACCGGGAACTGCCCCAAATGGCGACAGCGGGACAAAGTCTCTTATACAAGGGCCTATTTGACCTTTTTGGTTAGTATGTGGGCTTATTTGCTCCTTTTTCCTTTTTTTTCTTTGTTGGCTAGGCCAGTAGGGCTAGGGATTTAGGATAATGAGTATTCTAAATATATTTGAATGCTTATTGAATAATTGAAATTGTAATTTGTTATTTTGATTCATCGAAATATTGAACATACTTATAATTTTTTATATTTGATTAAATTTAGTGAATTAAATTTATATCTATGAATCATTAACTTATATTTAGTGATAGTATTATTTTGAATGAAATTTTAGGTTTTGTGATGATTGGAAAACAAAATATGAATCAAGATGTACAAAGACAAAGAAAAAAATTAAGAAATGATTTGGTCATGAAATCACTTTCCGGCTCTATCGATCGGTATGTTGTATGTAAGCACAAAACCTTCTCCCTCTAGGGCTCTTTGTATTTTTTCATCAACTTTGATCTTCTGATTTCGAAGAATATTCTCACTGTGTTAATAGTATATGATGTATTTTATATGTAATTTACTTATATTTAATAGCTATTTTTTATATCATTGGGCCGGGTTAAATAAAATATATTTAAAACAAAATTTCTAAATGACCGTCTAGGGCCTCATAATTGCTCTAGCCGGCCCTGGATGCATCGAATCATAGATCTTAGCCATAAAAGTGGACTTCCTATGTACAAAAGTGTACTGTGAGTGAGTAAAAGTGAATGACGAAAACCATCTAAGTGTAATAGTTGCACTAGGTTTATTTAAGTTCACTTTACTCAAACACAGCATAAAAGGAATCAAGCTGACGATTAAGATTACAAATACTATGTCAAGTACATTTACCAATTTTTCCTATAATTTAGCACTATCAGGGGCGGATCCTTGTGTGAGCAGGGGTGGGCTCCAGCCCAGCCCAAATTTTATTTTTTAATTAGTATATGCATAAAATTAGTGTCCAGCCCATCCCAAAATTAACTCCTAGCCCACCCCAAAATTAATTCCCAATCCAATCCAATCATATTATCAACTATTCCAATCAAATTATTTATAATACAATTGAAGATTAGAGAATAATTTATTTATTATGTGGACATGTAAGAAATAGTTAAAAATTTCAATTGAAATTTGAAATACTAGAATCTTTAATAATCATTAATAAATTTATAAAATCGCACTAAAATGTTTAAATTTTAAGTTATATACAATTTTTATTTATTCCTATGATTTATAAGTTAACGATAGGTCGAGCCCGGATTGAACCGAACATCACTAAGCTCGAACTCGGGCTTGAATAACTATTCGAATTGAAAATCTAGCCGTTTTCGACTTCGAATCTTGTTAAGCTTGAGTCATTAAATTAAATTTGAAATCGCGTTCAAACTCGAGTAGTTCAAAAAAAGCTTAGTTCGATAACAACCCTAAATTAAACATTTTGTGTGCAGTAACAATTTTTTTTATTGTTTAACCCACCCCATTCCTGGATCCGCCCCTGAGCACTATTAATGATCAAGCATGGAAATTTTTTATTTATCACTTGCACACGTTATTTTTTAGTTGAAAACTTCATAATAATTGGGGAAATTAATTCATCCACATGAAACTATTTTGAAGTCCGAAATACGTAATTTTTCCAATTTGGATGATTAAACTACTTTTTCAAAATCTATTTTAACTCTTTTGTATTAATCACGTATTTTTCCTTCAAATTAAATACTCCGTATACTTTAATTCACATAAATATTCAACTTTGTCATGTCAAAAGGTTGCATTATAAATTTTTATATGGGGTAATTTGAGTTTGAATCCCATTTTGTTGTTCAAATCGGACTTTGCATCCCGTTTTTAAAATTCTTTGTTTTTGCATCCCAACCCCATATGAAAAGACAAAAATGTCCTCGATCAGGAATATGTTGAAGGCCAACAAAATTGCTAATGGAGGAGCAATTTTGCCTTTTCATTTGGGTTGGGGTGCAAAAACGAAGTTTTTTAAAAACGGGATGCAAAGTCCAAATTGCACAATAAAATGTGGTGCAAACTCAAATTAGCACTTTTATAAATGCATTTTTATCACAAGCTATATCGCAATATTTGCATTCTAGTATAGAATAACCGCGCTTTTATTTAAAACTTTATGCAACATCAATTTAAGTACATACTTGGATGTACAGGAATGGTAATATAATTAATCAAAGCCATTCTTCAATAAATGAACCTGAAGACAAACACAACCAATTTAGGGGGTTTTCCATTAATATTACTAAAAGTCATGGACAAAAATATTACTTAAGAAACGATTAGTGACTATAACTGTGTTCAAATATACATCGTAGTAATTACATGTAATTACTATGATGTAAATATAATAAGTTACTATGATGTAAACATTGAACACAATTATAGTCACTAAAAGTTATTAAAAAATATTTTTTGTCCACCATCTTTTAAAGAGTAATATTAATGGATTTTATTGTCATTTTATTAGATTTATTTGCACATGTATAATTTAACGTTTACGTATAATTCAAGCTAATCGAAGCTGATTTGGTACGACGTATTGCTCGTGGAGACAAAATTGAAGCTCAAACTCTTTGAGATGTTTCTGGTACAAGCTTTGTGCTCTTCTGATGAATCCAAGAATGATTGAGCCCCGGAAGTGATCAAGAAATACAAGTGTGATTATGGACAAGGTCGTTTAATGAATTTGGAGGCCCTTATTCAAAATGCAAATTTGAGACCCCGCTTTAATATAAAAACCTAAAAAGATTCCCCAGCTAAAATTTTGCTATTCTCAAATCAATTGAATACTCATTAAATAAAGAAATTAAATATCTACGGCCCAACTACAGGTAGTAACTTCCCCCCTTTCAAATAATTAATCTTCACATTTTTTATAAAGTACGCATTTCAATGTATGAGGACATTATATTAAATAAATAATGGGGAAAGGGTCAGATAGGGCCTCAAACTTACAAAAAAATGTCAGATAAAGCCTTATATTGGTGGTTCTGTCCGGCCGACGCCATTTGGGGCGGTTACCGGTGGATTTTTTTAATGAAACTTTTTGAGAGTCTTATTCATTAAGTTTAGTTTACTCATATCCATTTTCAACTAAAACATCAATCGGGAAGGCATTCTAATAAATTCTTGAAGATAAGTGCGCAGTTAAAAGCGCAGTTATCTTCAAGAATTTATTTGAATGCCTTCCATATTGAAGTTTTAGCTGAAATTTGCTATGAGTAAACTAGATTTAATGAATAAGATTTTTACAAAATTTCATCGAACAATTTTACCGGGAACCGCCCCAAATGGCGTCGGCTGAACAGAACCTCCTATATAAGGCCTTATTTGACATTGTTTTTGTAAGTTCGATGCCCTATCTGATCCTTTTCTCAATAAATAATTAATTAATGTTAGTGAATAAATATAACAATAATTGTCCCTTATAAATATGAGGCCCATGAGAAGTGGGGCCTTGTTCTGTTTAACCTAATTAACATGCTAAAAGACGGCCTTTATTATGGAGGAAGCCGTCTCTTCAACATTTGTTGTTGGAGAGATGTGTCTCATAATGATGTTGACTGTTTAGAAGCGTGTTGACCATTCTTCCCATCATGTATATCCAATGCATTAGGTTGTCATGCCAGTTATTCTGAGTATCGTAACAAAACAAAACAAAAAATTGGGGAAAAGTATGGAGACACCGTGATGTTACATTATTATAACATCAATGAATAATACTGACGTGTGTCCTGCAGATATTGGTAGAATTAGTGAGAATCTATGCAGGTCTTTCGACCAATCCGCGTGAATCATCCAAGGGATGTCACTCCGGTCGTTAGTGCATGATCAGAGAAATCATCAAAGGAAAAATGTAACCTTGAGGTCACGTAGACCCCGTTAGCGTTGCTTTAGAGTTGAACTCCAGAGGATGGCCTGAACACGTTGGTGATGGAGTTGTTGCAACGTCAGGACTTCATTCCAATCCTCAGACTACATCTATGGTAGACGAGCTTATGGAAGTTCTCGCATGGTCACAATGACTAGGTACTGACTCATAAAAGATGTTTGTATCCTAGAAAATTTAAAGTCATTTTGGCATATGTTTTTGGAAGTGGTATTGGTCTAGTACTCTAGTCCCCCACTTCTTCTGTATTGGCTCAATGTTTTTTTTTTAATAAAACTCTGGTAAATGCTCCCTGACATTTACCCCACTGATTTTGGTGGTTGACCTTCCTGGGTTAAAAAAAAGACATGATCATATCAAAGATAATTTAGTGGTGTGAGGCTGTGGACCACTGCAATCACCATCAACCATCTTAGAAGTAAACTATGATCAAAGATGAGGTTCCATGTAAAATGTGTTTAATCACCTGTTTGTTGGAGATGTGTGAGTGGTCTTGGGTAGGGTCGCGTAAGTGCTGCAAGATAAGATGCAACGACTTTGACCTCGGATCTGAATAAATCACTCATATGCCTATGGGGGGGGGGGGGGTGCGGGGTATTTTGAGTGACTTTTGGTGTTTTCTCTCGGTTGATAGTGAAGTTGAGAGTGTTATTAAATTTCTTTTTCTTGCTCCCTTGAGCCTTCTATGTCCTCACTCTCGGAATGTGCAATCACACTCGATTGCGTCTATGGGTAGGCTCAGTTGGATTTTAATGAGCCATTAAGACTTATTTTGCCTCCCCCCTCAATAGGAGCACTCCGTAGGATTGCGTTTGGCATGTTTCAGCGCCGGGGAGGAACATGAGACGCCCCCCAGAAGTTGCATCCTTGAGTTGTCTTGCTTTGGAATCCATCCCTTTTTTTTTTGCATAAAACAAGTTCTGAAATATTTGTTTTGTTTTTGTTTTGAAACCAGTCTCTTTTGAAGCTTTATGAGAGCTATATGACTGAGATTCTGATTTAGGAATTCATTTTTGAACATTAGAAGTTTCAGCGCAGGTGAATGATGACATCAATTTTTGAGAATTAAAGATTTTTTCTTTTGATAGATTTTTCATATGTTTGGCTAAATGAACTTTGAGAGGATATTTCAAGGAAACATCATCACAAATCTCACATTGATGGATAGGGAAGAGTGGATCTTCATAGATGGTTTAACCTCAACACCAAAATGCAAAACCATAGATTTTAATTCCTGAATAGGAGAATGAGAAGCATTATGTGTGACAAAGCTACACAATCAATTGCTTGAACTATACAGGACTTATGAACAACACAATCAGTGGCGGATCTTCCTACTAAATTTTGGGTGTTCAAAAATAATTTACTGTTAAAATATTACATAAAAATTACTACATCCGTCCCATTGGAAGGTTCCCATAACAAAATAGCACGGTTATTTAAGCAATAATTAAATGCAGTACTCCGGGTATATTTTGAGAAATAATTTTAATAGGTATATATTATAATGTAGTTAGTATTGATGACTATGATGTTATAAATGTATTATTTCTAATACTTAATGATTGATTTGTCACTTAAGATTGTTAATTGTTTCCTAAAATGGAAATAAGAACCTTTATACGGGACGTCCAAAAAAGGAAAGTGAGAGTCTTCTAATGGGACAGAGGGAGTACATACATAAATTCTTAACATGTATTTTTGTATTGAATTTTCAAATTTTTGGTTGTTCATATGAACACCTCTGAACCAAACACATCCGCCACTGAACACAATAATTTTTTTTTGAGTTTTTTAGAAAATAGTTCAAGTCTTGCAGCTTCTTTTCGCGTTTGTTTGAAAAACCAAACTCGCCTCTTCTCTTGGCGTTTATTAAGAACAATTTATTTCGGATTTTCATAATGTGAGTATGAGGATGGACATATGGTTCTAGAAACCATTTTAGAGAGAGGCCTTAGAAATTTAGCCATAGAGTCCAAAGAGGAGGTAGCGTTTGTGTTTGTACTGGGGACATTTTGAGAAGAGATATCTCATTTAAAAGTTTTTCTTGTTCTGTTTTGAAAACATTTCTTTCGATCTCCGGATATGTGTGTAAGTCTGCAATTTTATGAACGATCTATGTAATATACATATTATCAGTTTTAGGGTTTTCAGAAACACAGAATTCTTTCTCTGTAGACACGGTCTCACTCGCATGACTATAGATTGAATCATAGTCTTTAAACAGGGAAATTTACTGTGTCTTAAAACTGTCATTCAAATCTGTGTAATTAAAAGAGATTCCAACCTTGACTTTATCTCTTCTCTCATGGTCAAGGATACTGGTTTCTGACGCACAAGTAAAACCCATTAATGAGGTTAGACCTAAACCCATGTAATTTATGTTATAAAATTGATGTGTAGTCACTCTGTTTAAGTTACATGGAAAATTTTGGAATCTCAAGCCTTCTTTAGGATTGTAGAAAGTGGTGTCCTTAGGCTGATTAAGAAAAATTGTTTGATCGGTTTGGCCTCTATTAGTAAGGATGCCCCTCCAGATAATTGATTTTAGAGTATAATTTCTCGTGTTCGTTCTAAATGGTTTGAAAAGAATTGACCGTTGAAATTCCTTCAAGTTCTTAAGCATTCAATTGCTTAGTTAAGTCACATATTTTTACTTCTAGTTTTCTACCTTAGATTTAAGGTTAGTGATCTCAGGGTGTTTTCTAAGAATACAGGAAAACCTAACATACAACGCAAAAAAATCAGAGGAATTTTAGGATTTCTAGGATAGCGGTATTCGGAAGGCTCATTTTATATTTTTGACCCTGATTCCCGTAATTTTAGAACAAAACTCTTACTATCGTATTTTGGGAATAAGAACAGCAAAACCCCGTTGTTTGTCATTTCCTCAGTGATCTCATGTGGTGCATTGATTAAACGGTCGATGAGGTTTGATTCCTCTCTTAAATGTTTTCACAGGACACTTTCATTATTAACTAGCTAATCATGCTTCTAATTCCTTAGTTAACTTACATTCCTACTCATTAAAGAGATTTTATCTTGTATAGACCGTAAGTGATCAGTAAAATTTGAATAAGAAGTACTGATTACCTCAAACTAAGATTCAACGTAGTGATTGTCAAATAATGTTGAGTTTGAGGTGGCAGCCATGTCTGTTCGTCAAATATGGATCGCTGACGTGTTCTTGATCGAGATGGTTTGCAAATTTCTGGATCTTGAAATGTCGCGTTGAGCAGCTTTGACCTCCTTTGACTTTGAGAATGGCCCAGGTTTGACTTTTTGAAAACTTTAAACTTGTTTGACCTTATCTTTGACAATGTTTTTCGCAAAACAGCCTAAAACACAGTGAGAGATAAAAATTTTGTAGAAATTTGAAGGTGTGTACTTTTTTTTTGCAGAATTGTACTCAGAATAGGAGAGGTGCTTAATTAGTGTAGGGTAATTGTTTATGTTAGGATATAAAGAGGCTTCCCTGGAATTGGGATTTAAAAGATTGCTCCATGTGCGCCTCTTCTGAAGATCACGTAAGTGGTAGCCCCCACCTCCAGCGTGTCACTCTTACTAAACTCCACCCACCATTATTTTGAACAGTGGCGAGATATTCAATATACGGAAATAGAGGGGTAGAAACAAGAGGAACAAACATAAAAGCACGAAAATTGGGGCAAAAAGGACAGGCAATAAAAGGTGGACGCGTGGGACGGTTGCCCCGTTCTTCTCTCCTCCCCCCTTTTCTGCTCTACAAAAATCCTCTCATCATCACGCCTCTCCATCTCTCTCCTCACTTATCGCCTTCCTTCAACTCAATTCGCCCCCGCCCTTCCCGGCATAACCGCCACCTCTGCTGCAGCCGCCTCCGCCGCCACGGACAAGGTATTTTCTCTTGTCGCTTACCGCACTTTTCAATCTGTGATATCACAATGCTTAGCAGTTAGCGAGTTTGAATAATTGAATGAGTGTAGTGAATTTGAATAGATTATTATTGATTATCGATTATTGATTTCGTATTTGCGGTTGATTTCGTATAGGCGTTAGTTGTAATTTTGTTCTACAGAGTATCATGCGTGGAAAAGGAAAAAGCTGCGAAGAATCTAATCTAACACGTTCTATTCGATCTTTTGATTTTTGATTTTCAGTTGCATTTGAATCTCCAATTTCCGGCCTGCAATACCGCCAGAATAGAAGAGTTCGTTCTGTCTCAGAGGAACTTCGCTGATTGAAACGATGGAATCATCATCTTCAATCGGAAATCCTAATGTCAACGCAAATGAATCGCGGAAAAAGCGGAGGAAAATCGGGGATTCTGATCCGGATCAGACGCAGCCTGCCTGCGTCGACGGACTCAGGTGGAAGAGCCAGGCTGCCCAACAGATCTACTCGTCGAAGCTTCTTGATGCTCTCCGTCAAGTCCGGCGGAGAAATGAGACTCCATCTCCAGCCGTCGCCGGCCGTACTATTCGGGAGACTGCCTATAGAGTCCTAGCTGTTGCCGCCAAGGGAAGGACCCGGTGGAGCAGATCGATTCTCACGGGAAGGCTTCATTTGAGACTAAGACAGATCAGCAATAAAAAGCATAAGAAAGCCAGAGTGGTAGGCGCCGGCGACATCCGGTCGAAGAAGCCGGCGGCTACGAAGAGATTGCCGCCGCTTCAAAGGAAGGTGCGCGTTCTCGGCCGGTTAGTTCCTGGTTGCCGGAAACTGCCGTTTCCGAACCTGCTAGAAGAAGCTACAGATTACATTGCAGCTCTGGAGATGCAAGTTAGAGCTATGAGCGCCATCACGGAGCTTCTCAACAGCGTCGGAGTGGGAACTTTACAGCCTAATCCCGACCGGCTTGGCTCAGAACAGTGATAAGCCAATGGCTTGCTGAGCTGTGTATTATCATTTTCTTTATGTTTCATTTATACATATGTATATACTCTGTATGGCCGAGTTTTACTTTTTACATTTTTTAATAAGCAATTGGTTTCTTCATTTTCGTGTATTTTTCTTTTCATTTTTATTCCATAGACATCCTGATAGCCACTACTACCTCTTTCCCCTTCCTTTTTTTTCTTTGAATGGTTTGAGGTAAACAAATGGCATTCATTGGTTTAGTTTTTTGTTAACACCCTCCACCAGTCCACCTCTTGCCTCTCTATCCATCTACACAATTTTATGTGTTTATGCACAAAAATACTTCCTCAGCTTGATTCAAAATAAATTCAATATAGTAACTTATTATACGGAGTATTACTTTAATTCAAATACATTTTGCAGTTTCTATAATTTTTTTATATCTATTTTATGCACACAATCAAGGATAATGAGTAGAACTTCGCATTCTTGTTCTACTCAAGAATAACCGAGTTGATATATTGAACTAACATTTTTACCATAAAGAGAACAAATGAAAAAGATCACTAAGGTCCACGTGATCACTAAGATAAACGACTGATCTATTCATGAAAAAATATTTAAAACATATTTTATTAATAGTAGTAGTAGTTCAATATATTAAATCTACAATAATTTCAGTCAACATAGCCAACATAGCCAGTAAGTAACTACAACCTTACTTTTTACCAAATGGTTTCTAACTTATTCATCAACTAATTAATGTTAGAAAAATTGGATCAAATTTGCATTTAATGGCCATTTTCGAGCACAATTTTGAGTGGCGTCCACTTCTGAGTTGGGTCGGGTCAAGGTGGATCCGGGTTCCTCTTGTTAAGGGGTTCAATTCAATATGTTATACACTCAAAATGGATTACATGTGAATGAGAAATTAATTCTCGAAATTCACTTGTTAAGGTAGAGAAATTGGGGAAATGGAACTACGAAAAGTCCAACTCCAGAAAACTCAATAGATTTACACCCCCTTATAAATGAGACCCTCTTTGAAGGAATTAAGACTACATAGCAGAAAAGCTCTCTTCACAAGCAGGGGGTGCAAACCGAATCTCGAAACGGAATGGAAACAACCACCAGACTTGCGTGCGCGGGCGATCGGAGGACACGAATGTCATCCGAAAATCTATCTTACACAGAGAAGATATAATTTTTATTTCTTTTGGAATGGTAACATTTCTTTTTCTCCTGAAACTGCCATCTGAATGTTGGCCAACGTTCCAGACCATTAATGTGACGTCGTCCCCCGATTATAAGTTTCACTAATTAAAATTTTGAACAATTATGAATAAGATTGTTAATTTTATTCTAGTTGTAAATTTTAGCGGTCGTTAATGTAAATTATGGAGCCCACGTTGCCGAAGGACCATCTAGTGAACTCCGGGGCCGCATATTAAATTCATTTGAGACAGGACAATGTTTTAAATCAGCGGAATTATTTTATTTCAGATTAAAGTAATTCTCTTGAATTAAAATAGGAAGAATTGAAGGTTGGGCAAATAAAGAGGGCAAGGGGCCGAAGCCCATTTAATAGACTTAGTAAGGACAATAAAGCCTAGACAGTAAACCTACTACCGGGATGCATCAGTCTGTGCAGCCATTCCAAAACTTTTGGGGACCTTTACGCTAAAACCTCTTATCCTCCATTTTGATCGTTCAAGAAGGAAAGGACCAAAAGGTGAAAGTTGGAGCAGGGAGTGCTATTCAAGCCATCTTTTAGGTGAGATGATGGCTCTATGATTTGTAACTTTTGAGTCTTGTATACGATTTCCTTTTAGCGTGGAAACCCAGATTTATCGTTTGATAGAAGTTATGGCTCATGCGCTAACCCCATTCGGAGTTTCGCGCATGAAGCTAGAAGCATTTGCGTGAAGTTAATGTGATGCTAGAAACAGTCCCTTAGGTTCATATTTGCACCTTGACGTCTTCATAAGAGTTGTAGAACTCTTCAAGACGAAACCAACGCCGTTGATATAATAGAAATTGGACAAGCCAATACAAAGTTATGGCTTCATGAGCTATCTTCATGAGCGATCTTCATGCGCGATCTTCATGAGCGATCTTCATGAGCGATCTTCATGTGCGATCTTCATGCGCATAGTTGTGTGTGAGGCAAGAAGCCTTCTCCTATGTTCACACATTTTGAATATTTTTATCTTCATAATTGTTGCAAGACTTGTCGGGATGAATCTCACGACTCTGATATTATTGCTAGTATGTGCTAGTGAAATCCAGGACCAAGAACGTCCAAAATAATATTTCTAGTATGAGCTAGTCAAACCCAGGACCAGGAACGTCCAAAATAATATTTCAAGTATGGGCTAGTCAAACCCAGGACCAGGAACGCCCAACATTATATTTCTAGTATGGGCTAGTGAAAACCAGGACCATGAACGTCCAATAAGATATTTCTAGTATGGGCTAGTCAAACCCAGGACTAGGAAAGTCCAACTTAACTCGTACGGGTATGGAAGGGTGAACCAGAACCATGTACAAATATAGGATAGAGCGTGCAGGCTAGATATCGAGGGTCTAGTTTAAGGAATAGAGGACTACATCCTTAGAGCACAAAAAGGTTGTTTTGATATAAACAAGTGGGGAAAAGGTGCAAATAAGGATGTTTTTACTTGGACTGTAATTCCTCCCAGAGCAGACCAGTTCAGACCAGACCAGACTTGGATAGTTATAAAAATACAAAGAAACCAGAGCAGACCAGACCAGTTCAGACCAGACTAGACCAGACTAGCAAATTATAGTCCAAGTAAAAACATCCTAAGCCCTCGAACTAACCGAAAAAATGCAAATCACCCCTTTTATAGGAGGCTCTGTCCAGCCGTCGCCATTTGGGGAGGTTCCCGGTGGATTTTTTTATGAATTTTTTGAGCATCTTCTTTATTAAGCCTAGTTTACTCATACCAAATTTCAGCTAAACCTTCAATCGGGAAGACAGTCAACAATGGGATGCCCTAAGTTATTTAAAAACATGATGTATTAACATAATATCCATATGATAAAAAAACATAATATCCAAATTAACGAAAAAACAGAGCTGAGTGAAACACATACACATATATAAATATACATCTAGAATCACAATAGACGACAAGTTTAAAAGGTCCAAGTAAATTGGACCTATATTTGAAGTCTTCAATTATTGGGGATCTTATTATGTTGAAATGTTGGTCTCCAACAAGGTGAATTTGAAAGGTTTTCCTCCAATTCATCATGTTTTAATCTCACATCATGTTTTAAGCCACTCAATTAGTTACTTACTTGGAATATAAGAATATTTATCAAAGAGGGAAAATTCTCCAAATAATTATAATTATATACTTATATTTATCAAGGGGTGTCTTTCTCAATATAAGACACCCTCAATTTATTAAGGGGTGACTTTTCATTGTTCCAAAAGGCGGAATCTTCCACCTCAGGAGCCTCACACCTCGATCCGATAGAATGGTTGAGGAGTAAGTCATTGTGACTCAGTTGGTCCAATGATGGTAGACCTTATACTCGTGCGCACAAGAAGTCCAGCCTAGCACGTAAGAGCGCGCGATAATCTCCACACAACCGCCGTGAGTTTCGAACCTGGATAATTATTCCAAATTTTCCACAACTGAATCAACTGAGCTACCTGCGAGTAGAGGTGACTTTTCATTGAATGACCAAACGTGAGTTGTTCTGAGATCAGAATTGAAATGAGAAACTTAAGGACAAATTAATGGTAACAAAAACAGGAAAATACATGATATGAGAAGTGATGCTGGCTTTTCTTCACATGGCCGGTCCCGAATCCCGATTTCTTTGCAGCCTTTATATGAGATTTCATCACATGATGTATTCTAATAATAATTTAAATGAATTTACATGCTTTGTCCTGCTTGCTATCGACTCCGATTCCAGTCTATCTATTAATTATATTTGTCTTCACAAGATAGGATAAGTTTTAAAGTAAAGTAATTTTGATTTTTCAAACTCATAGGATAAGCCTTCGAACCTATCAATTTCATGGGCGTGGGGGCATGCCAGCTGGTTGCACCCCATACGATCTACCAAATATGTTTCTTCTTCCAAAATCATCGCAACCTTCGACCCCTTAAAATCCGTCTGAGGTATCAATCCGACATTTTACATTAACGTCTAATTAGTTTAAAATGCAACAAAAGCTTGTCCTATGTTACTTTTTGTACACCTTAACAAAAATGAAAAAATTGCTCGGGCAATGAGTAACATATACTATCAATGCCCTAGTTTGACTTCACACGTATCAAGAAAACAAATTTACTGACAGTAAATTTTATTATAGAATACACTGTTTTGACACTGTTTGACATCGTTTAGATATAAATTTGTTTACCAAACAGGACAAATAAGGAAGTCAGACTTTAATTTAGGGACATTATTTAAAAAAGGAAAGTGAAACTTTAATTTATAAACATTGGCGTTCACACATAAAAAGACCTTTTGTTCTCATTTCTCGACAACCATTTATGTGTGACACATGAGAGTGCATTAACTTTTTTATTTAATGGACGTAGATTAATCATGTGTAGAATGTGTTGTACAAATATGATAAAAGTAGGGTAATAATGGTTACCTATGTACATACGGAGTAACTCTTAATGAATTGAGGTGTTATTATAATTATTATATAGTTGAATTTTTAGTAAAAGAATTAAAGAAGTATCTCAAAACATGTTTTGCTGTTTTATTAAGACTCCATCTATATATCTCAGCTAAATCTTAAGAGTTATTATACCTTTGCACTATTGCTATGCTCAACTAAACTTCTATCTTTTTGTGTAAGTTTACATCATATTTCTATTTAGTTTTTGAGATTTATTAGAACTTTTAGTATAATATATAAATATAGAAATTTCCTGAAATAGAAGTAAAATTAATACTATTACCATCTTTTTTATCAATAAAACATGCCTCTATTCATATCATAAGTTTCAGGATCATTAGATCAATCAAAGAAAAAACAAATTTGACACCAACTAAATTCAAACAACTACGACTGACCCTATGAATAGACTTGAAAACGGTCATCACTGAAAGAGCAACACGAATCGCTAACCATGTAGTGGGCTTGACACAACCATCCTTGTTCTCATAGATCCAAACATACCCAATGACATAAAAAAAGACTAAAATCTCAAACAAACTGACAAAACCAACAACATAACTGGTAACAAGAATTCAAATGACAAAATAATAAAAACTAAAAGGAACACTTTCACGGACCCTAACCCCTCGTTCAACCCATGGCAGTGGTTCCGGAGGAGGCCGTACCCTTTGTACC